ATCATTGAATAATATTGTTTCTAGGGCAGGGTGAGCAGGGCTCGCCCATAACGCGTTCAAGTCATGGTCGGTAATCAAACAGCTAAGGGGTTGTGACTAGAAAGGTTGGCAACTGACGGGTCAACCAGATCCCCTCACTGGAACGAGGGTCAAATTTCGGTGAATTATTCTCACTGTGGCAGATGTGATCAGATGAGATCTGTGACCTCCATCCAAGCCTAGAATTAGACACCGGGTCGTGTTAAAAGCTCCACCAACCACTGCGCACAAGACCTCTCCCGTCATCTTGACGGCATTCTCGGCAGATGTAGAAATAGCGAACTAGGTACAGTACGTGACCTATGACACTCAGAAGGCCGAAATTTACGGAAGGTGGCTAATCACTGGCAAACCAGAACCAACGAATGTATCAAAGTTTTGAAATATCAATGAACAACTGTAACTGAATTTAAAACTTGAAGGTATCATATAAAAATTACTATTAGTCGATTTTATAAATACCAACTTTCTTTAGAAAAGCAGCAAATTAGGCAAACTTGGAAAATCCCTGTAACTGTGACCAATAAATATTCTATTGAATATATCCTTACGAAAATCACGAAGGAACAGACAATGTAAAACCCACCTGGAACCTTAAAGAGAGGACTGGAGGATGAGAGAAGACTCTTGTGCGCAGAGGAGAGAGAGAGAGGACAAGAAAGCTAACCAACTAACCTCGCATTTGCTTCCTTCGCCTCCGAGAGGCCCTCCTCGGTGGTGTCGTCAACCAGTTTACGCTTTACCATGACATTGAAGAGATTCATGGTTTTGTTTCGACGGCTGAACTCAGCTTCGGCCTCCTCATCACGCAAGTATCGGTAACTGACCTCGGGGTTCAGCTTATACCTACACACAAAAAGGGGAGGGTAAGTCACCAGCGGAATACTCAAGTGCGAATTTAAAAAGGCACGGGTGTGTCGAATAATCACAAAATATGCAGATTACAACCCTTAACTCACACCACGAAACCTCCTTCTCGGGGCGACTGTAATCGGTATAGGGAGTGAGAGATACAATATCGGAGAATTCATTCAAACTTTTGGAATTTCTGAACAATGTCTAACGAGTTTACTCCATTGTCTGCTTTTTTTGCTCAGTTTCACCTACCGGCTCCTGTCAATTGGCATCGCCAATAAGGGAAGATACAATGCAGAAATAATACTTGCATGTGCGATCATGTTACTGAGAACAATTGAGTAGCTGTGTATGTTTACTTTTACCCGGGGACTGTTCACTTTTCGTCTGCAATTATGCAAACGACCTCTTTAGAAATTTTGGTAGGATTGTGTCATGGGGTTGTGTGAGTGCGCGCGAAGCGCGCCCAACTCCAAGACGGGAGAGTGGTAATAGGGGAAAGTATGGGTGGGGCATATCAGGGGAAGAAAGAGAGCGACATAATTCCAAAAACTAAGAAAATTACGTAGAAACGCGCAAATTTGTTTCACTGAACTAAAAATCGGCTTAACAATTGGTTTTTCGAGTAATAAAAGGGAAAAAAGCAGCGTGAAAATCAAGAAAATCAGGCCGCGAAAGGCAATTGGAGGGAAAATAATCAAGGAATTG